CCAATTTGTTACCAAACATCATTCTTTGATGTCACGAATTCTTTAAAGATGGTCCTGGAGGGACTAAACACAATGGTTATACTTATTTTGGGATTCCTCAATGGTATGGAGGAGATAATACATCAATTGTCACCAGGGGAGCCTCAACTCTCAAGCAAGCAGAGCTGAATAGTGGCGATATAGACAAGTCATCATATCCTGCGTATAAATATCTTATATGATATTTGATATTTTGCTTGGTAATTGTGAAATGATATCATGAATTTCGCCCACTGTTCCTGTCACTTTATGACTTGATAATAGATCAACATTGTATAACTGGAACCCGTAGTAACAACATATCACTCTGCTTTTTGTTAGTCTAAAGATAACAATGCGCTTTTATTAGATTAGGACTGTTATTGTTTGATTTACTCTGAAATTTAAATCTCTGGAGATGCAAAATTGCTTTTTTACATTTGCCAATCTAACATAAGGTTTCTAAAAAAGAAACGTTATCTAAAATCAATAGTACCAATGTTTTAAACTTTTTATTTCTATTACAAATGTCAAACCATGAAATTTGACATTTTCGTTTTGATTTGAATATCGACATAGACTAGGATGCATATACACAGTTGAAGAACATCCTGGTTACACAAATCGTTACAAAATGACTGCATCACCTGGTTTCGACTCTACCTAATGGTTGTATTTCATTGTCTTTCCCTTTATGGTGTCGTTTCTGCTGTTCCAGCTGATGTTGGTGCTTTCGTCCTTTCATGCAGTTTTGATGTCTCCCCAGTTATTCTTGTTTTGATGCTCTCAAGGTTACTGTTGCTTTGATTTCTACTCGTTAAATATTGCTTAAGTGTTACCACGGTCTCTGTTATTTTGATGTTTTCTCTCTTCATGTTGTGATGGAATCCGTTTTGTTTGTTTTGCGTTTTAATTCGAGTAAGTGTTCCGTGTTCGGCCTTGCCTGATGACGTTGAGACATATTTTGTTCTTGCAAGGAGAAACTGCATATGCTAATTCTATGGTATATTAGTCCATGAGAGTTTCAATGGTGAAGTATTTATGAAACTGTGAATTATTTATTAATGTTACATTTTACAAAATATGAAATGTGCTTATCAGTTCAGGTACTGAAGAGCAGTATAGAGGCCAATACTTGAGTGGTAAGTATGAGACTGTACGCTTTATATTTATATCCAGGTAGTAAACAGATGTAGTTTTTGAATACTTACACACGAGATTAAAAAATTAAAACCAGATATGACCGTTTATAAGCAAACGCGGAATCATTTACATTTAATAGATTTTTTTGTTAATGCAATGAACATTTATGAATCTCATTCCAATATATTAACATTTATATCTTAACTGTTATTACATGTGAAATTAATTTTTACATATACAGATTGTGTTACAGAGTATACTTTAATATTTGCATTTTTACTTTTTACGTTGATATATTTCATTGAAAGCGCAAATGTGATTTTACACTAAAATTGTAAATATTTCGCTTCCTTTCACTCTACAATATAATCACTGGCTTTTTTAAAGGTATGTATGTGAATTTAATTATCTAAACCCTTTATTTTGCCTTCAGCTAACACTCAGACAGTCTTTTGCAAGTTAACTGAGCTACCCTTCACCACATGATATGTGTGTTGATAGTAATTGTTTTAAATTTCAATCAGACAAAACGTTTACCGAAAATTAGAATGAAAATGTTTAAACGCAATAATTGATTTGTTATATAACTTTATCGAAATAGTCGTTCTGACAGTAGGTGAAGATTTACACAATTGTTTTTTACTATATCTCGAGCTGAAACCGAAATAACTATTTCTATGTAAACCTACTCTCCCGACTTTTTATTACAGAAAATGCAGACAAGTGTTGACGCAATGGCGATTTTTACCTCCAAAGAAATATTACCATTATTTTGGAATGCATGTAGTTCCATACTGGCTTTGTAAGTCAACAACCACAAGGATTAGAGATTGTTGGTATACACGATGGTCTGTGAAAGACAATAAAACTCTGACAGGGACGAGTTACGTGATTCTTTAGATCTTCTCTAGATAAGGCAATACACTTTATAGCTTATATACTGATACGTTTTGATTGGAAATATGACATATGACCTTTCTGATCTTAACGTTGACCTTCAATACAATACTGTAAGATGCAGCTACAAGATATGAAGATGTGCATACTAGGAGTGACTATTTAGAGATAAATGGTGAAATAAAGGTTGGATATCTTAGCTATTCACTGAATGGAGGTGTCTGTATTTAAAATAATGGGGTTTAATTGTGATTAGATTTAAACTCATTGTCAAAAAATTATAGGTATCGAAAATGATGCTTATGCCGCTGCTTTTGCCTGTTCGTTGGAGACGATCTTACTAATATCATTTCAGGGAAGGGTGGAAATCATGAACCTGGAGTGAAAAGAAGTCACTAAATGTATACATTGTATTTTTAATTATATCACACTAGAAACAAATAAGATAGGAGACAAATATAAGGACAGCGTAAGTATATATTAACGAAATTAGAGTGTATTCTTTTGAAAGTATGCCACTGATATAATTCAAAGAATAACTTCTTAAACAGTTCAACGACGAGAGAGTGTATTTATTGAAGGCATTGAAATCATTACGTTTCATTATGATGTGTCAAAGACAGGATTATAAAAGCTTTGAACATGAAACCTTAGTTCATAAAGTAAGAAATAGCGGCTATAGAATTCAAAACATTTTGAAAGTCTGTCTGCAATACGTCTCAATGGAGTAATAGAGCTAGGCGTACTTTTGCATGTTCCTTTATTACGGAATACGATTGCATGACCAAATCTGGAAGCATGTTACAAGCTGATCCCAGGATGCAGTAAATAACACAATAAAATGTAAAACGGATACTGGACACTTTGGATAGGATTTGAATGTTACGTGTGTATCCGTGATAAGAATGTGTATCGAACAAGTTTTTTCCCGTGAAATTAGCAATAAACGCATAAAGCACACGGTATTTTGTATGCTAAATTAAATATATAAAATATAATTTCACTAACATGGCCTTAACAAGGCCATATACATCCTGTTCTTTTTTCGAAATACACTATTACTAATGGATATTTTACTCAACTGTACATGTAACATTTCCGACGCCATCATCGTATTTGGACGACATAACGTTTGCGCCTGTATTTTAATTTGACAATGGCATCTCTACAAGCATATTATTCTGACAACTAATATTATTGTGCATCGATACGATAAAAGCAATAATACAGAAAACAAACACTTTTTTCAAGCAACAGTTATTTGCTCCTCAATTACAGAATTGATGTTTGAAACTGATGACAACAGACAGCTTTAAGCTTTTACGTACGGATGACATTAAGCTGCAAAAACGGACATTGTCCGTAATGGAATAAGACTAAAGTGTAGGCGTTATATTTCGATTCACATATACGCCAACCACTGTCTCGCTGCCAAATATTTTCTCTAAAATTAGTGTAACTGGCATTATATTAAATGTCGTTGAAGTCATTTTTGAAATTATGCTGTAGCCAGGTGTTCATATAGAGTACTACTGTACTATAACTACACGTTCAAATCATCGGTTGTCACGCCAGTGTTTGGAATGCGATTAGAATGCATGTACGTAAGTATGGACCACTCGTCCATGTCCCAAGCGCCGCCCTTTCCCCACTTCACTCTTACTTTGTCTCTCGATGGTTACACATCGAGAGAGACATATTCCCGTCACCATCACAAATTCCTTACTCTGGAAGTTCCTGGTTTATCTGTCTAAGACAGTGAAATAAACTAATTTTAAAACACTGAACTGCGATGTGAAGTCTTATGAACCTACGATACAGATTGCGCCCAACGTGTGTTGAAGCCATGTTCTTTCCGCTACTGTCCAAACTGTACCTGACGGGAGTTAGGTCGACCCTGTAGAGGAAGTGACGTTTGCCGCAGAGCCAATGCGAGGAACCGGCATGGATTGAAAGGGAATGAGCCTGTAGTGTTTGGTAGTTCGGGGACGCTGCAGCATTTCCTGGCAGTAAAGATTAAACCAGACTTAGTGCAGTAAGATGCTGTTCTGATTGTTATTTCAGAAAATGTCGAGTAGGCGTGTAACCTTTCTGATTTGTGACTGGGACGAATCGTCCTGATCTGTCAGAAACTCGATCTTGAACTGTGCTCACATTATTTTGTGAATGAAGTGTGTTAAGCCTAGACAAAAGACCGTTGGCAAAAGCAGAGCCAATTTCTCTCTCTAAAGATAGTGTAAGAGGCATTATATCAAATATCGTTGAAATCAATTTTGAAATTATGCTCTTTAGATATTAGCATTTCCTTTCATTTCCTTTATATTCTTCGATGGTCTCTTTCTTCTGATAGCATAAATCATCTGCAACGCGACACTAATTTGTCGTGGATAAATCCTTCAAAACTTTACGAGTTTCGTTGGACTTTTAGCAAACTTACACAACCATTTCTGTAGCCATAAATCAAGAAAACATTGATGAACGGGAGTAAAAATAATTATTATCTTGCTCTCAATTGTTACGTGTGGTATATGCGTTACGTATTTAGACTGCCTTCGATATGGGCGTATCGGTTAATTGGTATCAATTACTGTTAACCAACCTTCTTTTGTGTGCATTATTTTCGACTTTGCGATATAAAAGAATCTCGACAGCTCCGAGTTTGTTGTGATGCGAGGATCTCGGAATGAAAGTAGCATCCAGATAAATCAAGTTCAAGGTGTTACTAAGTTTACGATGAAAATTCATGAATTAAAACCTCTAGTTCACAATAACAAAGGCAATGCTGAGTTGATGCCTGTGAAGATCATTTATTAAGATTTTAATCATGTTGCAGTGAAAAAAAAACTCTGAACGAAGTTGTAAAAATATATTTGATATAAAATTTATTTCATTTTTATTCTCATTCAAAAAAAAAAAAAAAAAAACGGAATTAATAAAAACATTTATCGATCGTGCAGTGTTTTCCTGTTGTAAATGTTTCCGTATAGTTCTGACCGGAGAGTGTGGTTGGAATTGTTACTATTCTCGCCTGAATGTAGTTTGCACGTGTTCATTAAAATCTGAAATTAAAAAAATCATATTAAATATACCGATAATGCAAAGAATTCAGAGCTAGATAAATGTCTTTTAGTTGTTTTTTTCAGTTTTTGATTGCAAAAAAATGAAAACCCTGTTTCCGTATCTTAAATAACTTTGACACACCTTGCAAAATCGCCAAAAGTAATGAATTATTAAAGGTGAAAAATTATTTTTTCTGAAACAATGCCATTCAGCAAACCAAATCATTTCCAGTTAAATGATAATTAGTACTGTGAAAATTTAAAACTATATATAAACGAGGATAAAATAAGGTGTTCAATATGAAATAGCCAATTACTGCAAATGCAGTTTTGTACACAACGAAAACGTCCATACGTACTCCTTTTACGGGAACAGACTGATGAACATCAGATGTGGCTGTTTGTCCATTTTCGTTGTTTAATGGCGCTTCTCTGTAGTCCGAGAGTAAAGATCTCGCGGCATCATTGTTTATAACGGGTACACCCTGTTATTGAATTAAAGAAATAAACTATGAATTTCTCCTATTTTTTGTCGTATACAATATATGATACTTATCAATTCGAATTTTAAATAAATTGTAAAAACAGAGAGTTTTGATCTCAATAAAACATTCATTGCATGGCAGTGATCAGAAATTGTCCAAATGATTGAGTAACAAGAAACCTCGGATAATTCAATGAAGGGAAAATTACCGCACAGCCTTTATGAATGCTTTTTATTCTCGACATAATTGGTGATCCATCATAAAACAATGCAGAAAACGAAAACTCAATATTAAATACATTTAAACGACGGAGAGTTAAAAGGCAATAAAGATATTTTAATTTAAATGTCAGTTGAAAGCAAATACGCACATAAAATGATACGGTAATTGCGTTTTTTATAGATTCGTTTTATGTTGTCTTTTCACCCACCATAGTCATATAGGACCAAAGAAAAATGTGTTCGACACACGCTTACAAAAAGGCATAACAACATAACATGTTTTAATCTGTGCATTTAGAGTGTAGGAGGTTATCTCAATAATAATAATGATAATAAGGATGCTGATTGAGAATACAACTACAAGGCTATTCTTTTAACTTGTTGCCCTCTGTTTAAAATATCTAAACAGATGAAAGTTGGCAGCGATCATATATCATATTTTTAACATAATAATGACTCATTTGCGTTTATTGAGAACAAACCAAAGAAGAAGTCATATATATATGATGATATAAAGGTATATGCATGTCCTAAGAAAGCATACTTCATCACAACATGTCGAGTAAGACTAGTACTAAAAAGGCAACTAAGAGATTAAAAGATTACATAACTTTGTATATCAAGTTAAAGGTGGCATTTCTTTTAAACAGATTTCCCTGATAATAGAATAGTTTAAAGTGATTACTAAGGCAAGCCTGTCGCGCTTAGACATGATCATCTGAGCAAGGGTACATATCATGATAGCAGGATTTATATATACCAATTCTGCTGAGATGTTCTCAATGTATAAAATTGATTTGGAACGGTATTTACAATGAGGGGCAGACAGACGGACATGGGTTTGTGCCCCCTTCGATATTAAGACCGACAAAGAGATCGACAGACGGAATAATCACGTTAAGCCAAGTTCACACGAAGAAGACATGTATAATTAATTGGAAATGGCTTGAATATTACCTGCCTTATCATGTAGTTTTGCAATTTGCTATATGTAAATTCAAATTAATAACAAACGTAAAAGGATTTTCTCAACTATGCAAAACTTCTGCGGAATATATACCACTAGCGAAAAATCGATATCTTTATCCACGTCAGTAAGCTTGCACAAAGGTCTGAGAAGGGAATAATAGAGTGCAAAATAGAGGTGTAGAATGATATTAAAGATACTGCATTTAGTGTAGAATCACTTACGCCAAGTCTTCCTTTGGATTTGGAGCGTAGAAAATTTGCAACGCCAAGAACTATCGCCATAACCAGACCTCCAATAAGGATAAAGAAAACTCCGGCGACATTGCTTAAGGAAAGCGACTTCTTTTTCGATCCCTATGTCAGAGAAAAATAGAGATAAATAAAATAAGGTAACTAAAAAAGGAAAGGATATATGAAAATAACAGAGATAACAGAGAATGTCGAAAACAAATATATAGATATATATAGATTTCTCTTTCTAAGTGTATTATGAACGATGCAATGTAATAGTGTCTGGGAACGTGATGATATTTTTAGAATCACTCTTCCAGTGATGGATTACTTAGTAATTTTTCAGGCGCTATCAAGACGTTTTAACTTTATATTGTATATGGAGAACATTTAGAGAACACAGAGCAAACAAAGCAATTTTAATATTTTATCCCTTTATCTTTGAAAAAGAGAATAGATAGACTCAACATTTCCAAAATTTGATTCAAACAACATTACGTACACCATGTGAATCTGCTGCTCCACAAGTTCCTTTATCGACCCACCATTTTTTCTTTAACTTTATCAATGTTCCATCTTCAATAAGTTGTAGAACTGCGATGGACAATTTTTGCCTGTAAATAAATAAATAAATATGAAATGAGACTGATGAGAAAAATGTCTCAACATCCATCGATATTTAATGTTGTACTTTTTATATTTCAATTTTGATAATATTATTAAGAGAATATATAATCTTTAAAGATGTTTGTATTATCACCATTAGTATACTCAATATTTGTATCTGAAATATTATTAGCAATATTTTTATTGATATTCAAGTCCTCTTTTCTGAGACTGAAACTACGTTTTATGAATTTGAGGTCCTTATTTGAATGAACTAAGTTAATATTCATGATCGAAAACAATATTATTTTCGCGATGGGGCTAAAGTTACATTTTATTATAAATCGCATATGATACTTGCTTTTGTCATTATTTCACGAATACAGTTTTCAAATATAGCACCTCTTTATAAATAACTGCTTAGATTCTACTTCAACATTTCTTACTTTTCATTATAGCACAAAAAGATTTCATTAATCCTTTGAAATCAACTTTATGTACCTGTATTTTGAGTTGCAGATGCTGACCAAATAGTGAAAGAATCATATGCAAGTAACTATTTTAATGTTGCTTATTGGAAAAAAACACAATACAATCGTTTCATACTCTCAGACAGAAATTGAATTATGTTGCAGATCATCAAGTTGACACATTTCAGTTAAGATAACGTTAAGGTTTTGGACTGGAACGAATTAATGCTAAATGGTTCAGCCATAAAGTGTACACAAGGTTGAAAAGGCTAACAAATTGAACAGTGCTGCCACATTTCTACACAATATGGGACAGAAGACCTCTCCAGGGATTCAATTCGTCTTTATAATGGGAACGTTTTCAGGAAAAGTGATGGATTGTGAATTACGGCAAGGTTTAACGAATACGGTCAGGACTCATTGATGATACCCTCAGGGGATGCATCGTCTCACGGTGGCCAGCTTTGGCATCGATCATATTCTTTCCACAGATCGTCATCCATTGTCACTATTGCTATGCCTTAAACGATAGACGATTTGATCGTGTCGGTACTGTATTGATCGTCGTTACAAAGATTTGTCATTGTAAAGTTCCTTGACAGCTTTGGGCACCTCTAGCGATAATCACTACCTGTGTATATATATATATGGTCCGATAGAAATTGTCTTGATTGAGCTAAATATCGAGGCTGCAATCCGTCACAGTAATTACTAGTAAAGATGTGATGTACTCCACATCATTCCTGGAATCCAAGGCCATAGTAATGCGTCTTTGTGTTATTATTATCAATTGGAAAGATTTCATTCAAATTTTGTACACACACACGTGGGACACGGCATCCTTCAAAGATATTATACCCTTCGGAATTTCAAGGTTTTTTTTCTGACAGTCAAATTGAGCTTGCTTTAGATTGGGAATGCGACAGGTCGTATACCTACCTATAGGACTGCCTACCAGATAATAATGTGTATATAATATGGCATATTTGTGTATTGTAGTATATGCAAATCTGGTATTATCTTAAACACGTTCATTCAAAACATACGTTTATCACATCTTTGCCATGAAAATAAGAAAACAACAATTTGAGAAAAAATTTAAACGTCACTGCATGATATCAACACCACGAGACATCTCTAATTAGCACAAGTGACGCTTTTCCATTAATTATATAACTGTTTCAAATTTTAAATGTAATGACGGTAAGTTCTCTTCAACGTGTTGGAATTTGTCGGTCCTGTTTGGTTTCAACAAAACTTCCTGTAGATTTTCTGTCCTAGTCAAAACAGTATAAAATGGACAGGTACAGCAGATCCAAAATGACGCTGCCATGGTGTCGAGCGTTACGTTTTAGCTTTGTGATGTTAGAAATCTGCATTTTTTCTCCCTTAAATATTTGATAATTTGAAAATGTAATGATGTTCCGTTCAATCTGATGTATTAATAGTCGAATAGCAGTATATGTTGATAATTTGCGGCTATTAAATAAAATTCATTTATACGAGTGAAAAACATGCATATACATGTACCATATTGAACGGGGAATTATCAAGTCTATTATTCAGAAGGGTTTCGTTTTCCAGAAATATATTATAATGTATCAGTATCAATCTTTTGTTTGTTGCATCTTAAAAAGTCCACATACGAGACAGTACTTAAGCTTGTGATTTAAGGATGGAATCGAACCCTGAACATCTAGCATAATATGTTGTACTATTAAAGTTTCAGTCTTCTCCCCTGCATGCAATTGTAAGAAGCAGCCTATTTTTTCCAAGGATGTGATGACCTCCATCCGAGGAAAGTTTTTCCTATTCTGAACGCATCGATAGTTATTGTCAATATTTGACAAATCCCTTCTTGGCCGCCAATGTAGTTGAATGTATCATTTAACACTGTCTTTAATTTGTCACTATTATTGATTAAACATGGGACACGAGACATGTCTTATGTGAAAAAGAAATTATAATTTGCGGGGGTTGAAAGGAAACAGTTCAATATCATACCAAATTGATAATACGATATGATTACATATTCAAAATCAATTTCAGATTAATCCCAGAGAACTGTTCAATATCATGAGAAGATTTTGGAAATAGAATTACAGACACACGTTAACACTAATGATCCAGAATCAGAGGAACATCCTCTTAATTTTATCAGAAGGATGTGTCCACATCGAAAAGTCTTGCAATAATAAACATGAACTTTATATTGATATATCACAAAATCTTGATGTGTTTTTGCTACACATAAGAAAATCCTTAGTAATTGGGGTCTTTGTTACAATATTACATTAACCCTCTCTCATCATACCTTAATGGGGACCCTTTCGGAGTGGCTATTCCATAACCTTTGGAGTTAAGATTCTGTGCGACCTGCATGGTGTCACATGGCTCCTGGTTCATGAAGTATTCGTTGTATACTGATTCCAACAGAAAAGCATATTTTCCTTTAGAAGTACGAACACGTCTCACTCCTTCAGCGGAAGATTTGACGAACACCGAAGGGTAGTGATTCTTCATGAAATCCCACATTTTTCTGTACGTCATGACATTGGAGTTCTAATAAAAGTAGAAACGAATATCATCAGAATAATTGCTTGATCTGTTAATAATCCATGTAAGCGAGAACGGTATTATGACCATTGGACAATAATTAAATTAATGAAAAAATAATATTTTCTTAGTAATATTTCAGAAGGGTTCAAAATCGACCCTTGTCCAAATATTTTCTTAAAATCCTTTGGATAAACATTTAATATCTTCTATACATTGTATCATGATTTATAGATATCGTATTTCCTAATTGATATAGACATTTTGTACTTAAAATCCTTTGGATAAACATTTTTTTGAATATCTCTCAATATTGATATAATAATTTTGAGTTAACTTTATCATTTCAACAATAATTAACACAATTTGGCCAACTTATAGAAGAGATGAGACAAACTGATTAAAATGCTCAATTGATAGTAAATACTTTATTTTCTTTTGTATCTAATATTTACAACTGTAATATATACTATGACATATAACTCAATTTGTCGATTTCAATAGTGTCCGTTGTTGATTTAATGATATCTGTCGAGATTATCATGCTAATTTAAACGACTCAACTTCAAAGAAATCCTGTGTTGATCCCGAGTCCAATGTTCCGTAGGACATGTCAGGATGATTCGCAAGATCATCTGCTGATGATATTGGAGTAAGTAACCGTTCTATAGTTAGGAATGCCGCTAGGTTAGCAGTGTATGACGAAATCACTATAAGCACTACCAGCCACCATGTCCCTCCTATAATCCGACCTGCGGCGGACCTACAAAAATAGACGAACATCCATACCATTAGGAATTAGAAAAAATCAATAAAAAACAGAACACGAGCAAAAAAGCCATTTTAAAGGTCAACATAAAAGGTCAATATTTTAAAGAAATGATAATGAGCAATTCGTTTGTCAGTTGGGATTAAATACATGATATTAGTAATTTCTGTTTAAACTGTTAAAATTACTGATATTAGCAAAGCATTGTCTTCTTCCCAAATTAAAACTTCCGACTAAAATGTCCTTACACTAAGGCATGAAATCAAATTCCATCCTCAAACAATTTGGCACTATGGCCCTTGTCGTTTCATATCGGCTATAGTTTGACATGTATTGGTCATCTACTATGTTTAAACACACACATGATAATGAGATACAACACATGTAGTATTATTTGACATTTACTCATTAGCGCAAATGAAGTACTGACACAATCAAGAAGTATTCGGTGCTACCAACACGAGCCGCTTCTGTGATAACTAGTTGGCTAGATATACAGTATATATCAATTAATTACTAAATGACCCTCTACCTTTTTGGGAAACCAGCAGACTAAAACTAATTAAAAAAAGGCAATGGGCAGTTAGCGACCCTCAAAGATGCCAAAGCTATATCAGTCTAGCTATCCTTATGCTTTGTCTAGAAAACTTCGTTGTTATAAATATCAGAGAGAAAAGTACAGAGAAAGGAGTGCAGGATGTACAACTGTGAGACGCTATGCACGTCATTACTCTTTTGTGTTCGGAATATGTACCAAGTCTCGCTGTAATGAGACGTTAGTTCTTGAGAAGTGTTTTAGGAGAAAAAATGACTGATCTAACAAAAAATAAAAATTTTAAAAATGAACGAAAAAAAAAAAAAAAAAAAAACCAAAAAACTTATACAAAGTATTAATCCAATCTGCCACGGTTGTATCTGCAATATGTACAATTTCCTTGGTTTGTACAATACTATCAGACCTGAAGAGAGATTGAATCAAGGGCAACTCGTAATCCTAATTAATGGTTGTTCCGTAATATTTCCACACAAAAATGCTTATACGAATTTTATAGTTACTTTATGTAGACATTAATGTTTAGACAACGCTTTTAAGAGGGTATTGAGTAGAGAGGAAATCGGAATTGCAATGAACCCACAAAGAATATTATTAATCATCCTCCCAATTCAAATGTTTTACTGCATGAACGGTTTATGGAGGTCGTGATGGAATGGAACATCCAGCTTAATTGGGCCACTGTAATTTAAATTCCACTGCCGCTGGTCTGCCAATTGAAAAATCAGAGTTATCGATTTTCCGTGTTGTCACATGATTTCTAGTTAGTGAGCCGTATTCAATTCGTGACACTACTAAGATTTAATTCCATTCGGCTGGTTATATTGCTACGATGCTATCGAAGTGGTGAGTATTCAGTCTATTTGAGTGGATAACACAGATGTTTATACCATTCGGAAGTGCGCTCTTGTTCGAGTGCGTGTGCTCCCCTATAAAAAGATAGGTAATACAGTTTGATTTTGACATCTCTGTCTCAACAAATAATACATTCTTTACAATTTAGCAAGCCAATCAATTACATTTTACTTGAGTGAAGCTGAGTCAGAGGCTGCATATTTGACATGCAATAGATTTTCTTTTACATTACTGCGGTGGCAACTATTCTAATTACAAATATATCTATAAAATATTTAGCTGAATAGATTCCTAGGGACACCTTGCATGTACTCATATGATCAGTCAAGGAACATAAAATGTGTTAACACGTAATTTGTAGTTTCCTTGACGCAGAGATCATTCATGTGAAGTACGATGTACCTTGAGTGTGCAGAGCGTATCCATTCTGTCGACTTGGGGATGCACAGACACGTAGTCAACTGGCATTCTTATTCAGTAAAAGAACCAGCCGAAGTAGGACAATTAAAGTAAAACGCCTATAAGTACATATGTTTAAACAGTTATACAATTAGTATGGATTCGTGTATTCAGAACACGTACAAACCTCGTTCAATGAAAATGGAATGATGTGTTGTTTAGAATAATGTTCTTTTCTAATTACAAGATTCTGAATAAATTGGTAAATGAATTGTACGTTGCACTTTACGATATTGTCTCTACTGTAAAATAGTTGTGCTGATTTTGTCCTTATCTTGAAACAAGAAAATTGAGTAATGTAATCATTTTCACTCATACTTTTATTTCCAAAATAAAAGATAGCATTCGGTTATTTAAGATAGACGTGTTTGATGCTCGTAAATTGTCTATTGATTCCTTTGTTTATACCTTGTTCTCATTCTAGAACGTTTCTTGAATCGTCCACCTGGTCTTATTCTCCTGGTACTTTTTCAGGAATCTCCATGTTAATCGTTCTTTAGTTCATTTTCCCACAAGTTTTATTTGTCTGATGTTCTCATTTTATTTTCTTGTTGTTTGCGTGAAGTATTGATTGCCGCAAGCGTAACAACGATTTTTCAATGAATTCGACATGTGCCTCGCACATGTCTCAGCTCAAATTTGCAGCTCGTGTTGATAAACAGAAAACCTTTCGCCACAAAACTTGTCAGAAAAAAGTATCTTCATGATAAAAGTGCTGTTTTAATGATGCAATCCGTAGAATCTTCTCTGAGGCACTGGGTACCAGGTCATCAAATGCGAAGACCAGTGCTGATGTAACAACCCAGATACCCCTTCGAGCTTATATAAATTAACGTTTATCCGTCCTTATTTGATTCACTAGGAACACAATTTCTCTTTGTACCTCAAATGTATGCTAGACACTACAGCAAATTACAATAGGTGTAGTGAACAATTGCGTACTTTCCTAAAATATTGATTTAAACTTTGACAAATATAGGGAAATGTCTGGCAGAATATCTGTTAGTGTTTTGTCAAAGATCAATTACTTAACATGTGCTTTAAGCTATTGTATATTAGGAAAGTGGTAAACTTAATGGACGGTAAATTCAAAAATCGGTACATTTCCCAGACTTACGTGTTGTAAAGCAGTAAAAAGGTTCTAAATGATTAAATTCGCAGACCATCTTGTACTTTAAAAGTGCTAGAGCATGACCCCCTAACAGGAATTCCCTCCAAACAAAGAAATCTCATACATTACTGGTCATTATCCGCTTGACCTCTCAACCCGTGAGTGCAATTGCATGGTTTCTAAGAAAACGTCAAGTGAGTAATCTCCTAGACTTTACTGGAAAACCTAATTTTTTATTTAAGTAATACCGAGAACATGGAACCTAATGTACCTTTAGGGTATTTCTTGGTCATACAGTATGTAATTTCGTTGATAGGAAATAGTTTGCGTTACTTTTTAAATGATTCCTGTTGCTTGGTCCTCTTAATGTAATGAAAATCACCATAGGACATAGTAAAACGGGCCTGATTGATAGGTCACATGAAATCAACTTGTTTCCGGGGAAGGAATATACAAACATTCAAGATTTGTGCACTATCATAATAAAACATACAGAGATGCTTTAGATATCATTTTATGTGTGACCTCAGTACAACAGGACTTTTTTCCCATCAAAACAGAGCCACCTCTTATTTTCCAATGCATTTGGCGTCGTCTTTATTTTGTTACATCAGTTTTATTCTTATGTAGAAGTTTTTTTCTGTGATGCAATGTGGTAAACATCAACAATATCGGCGTTAACGAATGACTGTTGATACGATGTAGAAGTACGTGTGTCCATATGAAATGTATTGCTTTAACGGTGGTCTTATTTGTGCATCTTTTAAAATATCTTTTCTTTATCAGTAAACGTATATAATGATGACAAGTAAGATATACTGTATGTCAGGATATTTTTGTTCCAGATTATTTTCGCCGTTATACCATTATACATGAAAACGAATTGTCGCCCCACCTTGAATTCCCCCTCCTTGTTCATGGACGAAAGGGTGAAAAGCATTGTTAGATGTTGTCACTATAACAAAATAATTGACATAATATTATTCCGTTAGAATTAAGATCTACACAGTCATGTGAAGAAAACTGCTGCCACGAAAATATCTAAACATAGTTTATATGAGATACCCGTATGGAAAGTGCACAATAGTAAATAACATTACACAAGGGCAACATTTCAGGAACATGTAGTGTGCATAAAATTTCGTACGAAAAAAATGAAATTCTGATAATTTAATCAATGTTCATGCATATTACTAACGCAATTTCGTGCTGATTTCCCACATAAACAGTCATTAAATCAAGGTAACGAAAGTTATATAAGACACTTTCTTTGCACTACCGTGATGACATAGAGTAGCAGTATCTAGTATTGACAGTAGAGTAATTAGAAGCTAATGCAAATTTCTATACACCAGTTTTCTTTATCGGTTACTAATATTTACGATTCATTTTCGCTAAACAGATTATACGATGCTATACTCTTATCCCTATATAATATTCATAACTTAATTAATGACGATTGCCTTTCACAAATATATAATGACAGCGAAATTCATAGGCGGCCATTTATCACCAATACCTTAATTCACGACAGTTACATTTCCCATATAAATATCGATCGCGAGTTCGCGAAAATTAATCGTACGCTGATGTTTATGAGCTGGCGAAAGTAAATTCTGCGATACAGTTTATCACCTATATCTAATTTCACAAGGGTTACCCTTTTAAAATATCGGTCGGGGATAAAAAATTGCGCGGTTTTTCATCATCCATAGCTTAATTCACGACGATTGCTTTTCAGCTTTTATGGCGGTCGCGAGAATCACGAAAAAACCGCACGCGAAAGATAATTTACTTATTAAGGACATAGAATAGTATAACATTACTTACCTTGGACAGGTGTCACTGCCCTGTAGCATAAGGGATCCCATTGAAAACCACAGGGAACTTTTTAAGGTAAATTTATTAAGGTATTCTGTTCCGGTTCGCATTCGGATTCTTTTCCATTCCGTCGGACTAAAACGACTCACTAAAAAAATCCCAAAACTGACCACAAAATATCCAATCACTATGCACATCCATAGGGATACAGAAAATGGTTTCATGAATGAAAACACTCCAGGTTTTTGTTTTTCTGGTTTCTTTATCATAATACTTATTCCAGTATTCATGAATGGTTTAGAGAAGTCCACTACTTTCTCGCGCTCCATCGTTATCGTAAGTGGCGCTGCAGCTAAGTCGGCCTCCTGTGACAAAATTGAAATAATCAACATTAGTTTAATTTTCTCACATCAATCTATTGATCAAACATGTCACTGTGATTTGTTTTAGACGGCCGCCATAATTGATGCATAAGGTTGTCATCAGTGATGTCAATGTTGTCATCAGTGATGATAAAGGTCGTCATCAGTGATGCTGAAGGTCGTCATCAGTGATGCCAATGTTGTCATCAGTGATGAAAAAGGTCGTCATCTAATGATGCTAATGGTGTCATCAGTGATGCTGAAGGTTGGCATCAGTTATGCTAAAAGCCCGTCAACATTGTTGCTTGTAAAATGTTGGAGGCAAATAATCATCCATTTTTATGTTATTTGGTCAACTTATGGGATGCTTTTGCGTTCACGGATGCATTTTTCGCTAATAGTCTTTTGTCGATCTTGCTTGAAATATTGTAACGGAAATTGCAATTTGTAAATATATTGACAATATTCATTTGTTTCTCTTATGCCAAAACACTGTGTCATTTTGGAAACAAGGTTGCACATAATTCAATATCATTCCAATAAATCCAAGACGTCACGGCAATTTCCGAGGAAATGTACTGCTTGAGACTTCTGCTAAACCACTGTGATTGACAAGGACTCGGTAACGAGACGTCGATGTTCAAAAAGACACTTGACAAGAGCACTTCATGGGCTCTTCGCAAAGTTAAGGATACTCGCACACCAGTTATCAGATATAAGTTTCGTTCATATAGGTTTACGCTGAAGAGCAATTAGAATGTCATGCATTGCATTCCCTAATTGCATCCCCTTTCCCTCAATACGTGTCTGGCTGTCATTTATGGAAGGACCTGTTCTTTTGGTAGAATATAAAAATATCTCTCAGCGTTAACCTAATAATTTGCCGTATTCACGTGCCATTACTCGCATCTGCTAGACTATTTTTGCTTTCACTTTTACATCAATTTGCTGATGTTTTAGAAATTATTCAACACTGTTTGGCCCGTATATGCACAGAGCAAAAATAAATTAATATGGATATCATGGTGTGCTTCTCCGAAATTGCGGAATTTATTTTTTATTTTCGTTGATTTGTTAAATATTGAAACGAAATAAAATGTATCTCATGGTCACGTTAATGCACTATACATTTCTCCTCTAAAAATGACATTTATTTTAAACCTTTTTAAGTGATTGATCATAAGTACGATTTGTTTATTAAAGTAATAGGACATTTTTGAAAACAAACGTTACCTAAATGAAAACAAGCCGACCTGAAAAATAAGCCCATTCTAAACATATAAACATATAAACCTATAATTTCTTACATGAATAATTCTTCATTAACCTAATATTTAGAAAAAATCAGCCGTGCCATGTTTTCGAGCTTGTAGAATGTGTGCATTCTAATTTGTATGCACTTTTATTATATGGATGATATATATTTTTAAACACATATGTATAATCACAGGGACTTAATTTGACTATTATGCCACTACTAACCATAGTCATTCACGGCATCCAAAATTTTACGTATTGCAAAGTTTTTATTTCTTTATCAAATGAAATAATTGCATAAATTACCTCTTGGATCAGTTCGTTGATCATTCCATTCCAGGACCCATTGTCAAATAATTTTCCGTAGACTCCGTTCTTATTTGGTCTAATTTCGTAACTAAATCCGCATTTACTGGCGATGGAATGTATAAGGTCTGCACAGAAACCTGCAATAAAAGACAAAAACGTTTATTACAGCCTTTATAAAATGAACGTGTTTGTAGCTAGAGGTGTTAAAACTGGTGGAGTTTTATTTATCATAATGGCACACAAGACCTGAAAGGAGATTGGAACATTATGTATCTAACGAAATAGATAAAGTGAGTTTATGCAGTGATACTACTTCGTTAAATTTCCTTCTTGCCAAAACTTCTTTTCATTTTTGTATGGTGATGGGTCTACTCCATCAAAAATGGGCGAATGTTTCATTGTAGATAAAATTGTCAGCTCTAGTACGTAAATAACGAAATGAGGGTCCCCGCATTAATGCACATTTATCACCACCGGCAAGAATAATCCACGTTTGTACCAGAAACTACCATTCCTTACCTTCGTACTTACTGTTCCCGACAAGTGGTATCCCATCTTTTGGAGTGTTCTTAAGCATCAGAAATGGTTTTTCCTGGAAATGGATTAAAGCAATGCTAAACTTTTTTAATGCATGAAAACATTCTCCATATACAAATGTTGCGCATTTCCTAACTTAGAACACCTATATCTAGGAAAATGGATGACAGCGTGACACTTCGCAAATTTATATAAACATTAGGGCGCCGTGCTCGAAAACAATACAGTGAGATGAAGCAATTTATGACAATAGGAACAGAGATTATATACAAAACAAACAAGTGAATAACACTTTTCCACTAGAAATTTAAAAGTAGTTGCAGCTAAGCCAGTGCTATCAATACCATTAGGTGATTTTATTTTTAAAGGAATTTTTTTTCTTTAAAGCATTGCATAAAACAATCAAGTAAAACTTTCATCTCCAAGAGAAGTAAAAGTTTATTTATCATCTCGTCACATAACTATCTTCCGCGTATCTTGTCGTGATACGCAGCTGAAGTAGGCTTGTATACACTGCATAACACAGTAACCGTTCCTTCCGATGGGTCACGTGACCTAGAAATGAAGCAGATTTAACACGGCTCAGGAATTTTCCATAATTTTCCACGGCGCAACTCGTATATCACACAACCTGATTCTCATTTGCCTTGTTAAATTATTTAGGAATACTGCAAACCATATTTAGGAACAGTTGTAACTCCATATAGATAAGTAATCATTCATATACTAACCAGTCAGATTTCCAACAAGGTCACATTTTTCACAGAATAAACACCTTTACGTGAAAACGAGGAACTTTTAAAACTGAATTTACATATCACTATTTATTGACACATGGCTGGAAAAAGTTGGCACAGAAACTATTACACAAGTAGCAAATTGAACATGGATGCTATTCATTGCGACAATACAGAACCATTTTTTTTCTTCATTTCGATGATGTTATTCCATGTACTGTATATATAATCATCTCCAGGATACAACATACGTATATGGAAAGTCCTCTTAAACTGTAACAGCCTATGTTGTGCAAAATATTGAACCACTTAATTCACGGTGTATTCGATTGTTCATGCCAAAGCTGCATTCGCGTTTGGTATCACACGATAGCACTTGAAATATCGTGTGATATTTTCCTTCGTATGATGCAGTTGAATTAATTCTTTGGCTCAATTGTCTCTCACTCCAAATTATGAAAAGTGTTATTTACCTGTATGTCTTTTGTACAATCTTAAAAATGCACCGCACAAAATTAGTACAAATTCGCATGCATGTTCAGATACACCAAAGGAAAAAATATATAGAAAAAATAAAAACCACATGTAGACAAATATATTTTATGATCAATTATAGTGCAAACGTCTTTATCCCCATAATGTAAACATTCCTTGACGAAAAACCATTAATTTGTGGACAAACATGTAAGTAAACCTGTTGGTTCATTGTTGAACGTGTTACTTGACCTGACCAAGGTAAACATGGCGGGCGTCGCAGGAGATGTTTTTACATCCGTGTATGTATTTCTGTTGTTAATATTTTGCCCTAGTTTCCATTGATTCATTGAATTTGAGTTTGGTTTATGATTTTTTCTGCTGCCATGTAGGAAATACTTCACTTAGATATATAGTATAGTAAGAACATTGGTATGTTAAAAAGGAATAAATTCCCACTCGACAAATTTCCATGATGTCTCTCGGTGACAATACTTGTCAAATATTTTCTGTATCTGATATATTGCCATTTTAAAAACTTTTTATTGAATATGTGATAAATAGAAAGACATACATTTTCCATTATACTTACGCAAGCTACATAACGAGAAACAGTCATTCCCTTATATATGATGGATGAATTGAATTGAATGGATTTCGGGAAACGTTAATCATTTATACTTGATAAGAATATTAACTTGATTAACACGTCATTCTTAAGATTTATCACATTGTACAATATCGATAATGGCATAGGCGAATGTCATCGTCTGCCAATATATCATACAACAATAAAAAACTTAACTTATAGCCTCTCTTCATTGACATACTTAAGTGTTATAAACGAACTATATTTTGGCGCTAGCCATCATGTGAAAGAATATTTCCTTGTACGATATGTAATTTGGCTAGATAATCTATTTATTTACTTAAATATTGATGTTTTGCCCGATGGATTCGAAATTGTATACAATCAAATGCAAATTTGAAAAATTAAACATTGGAATGTTATTCAAATTAAACAATGTCCTACATTTGCTTACTGGAAGAGATCCGCTTAAAGCTATCAGAAGTATATATATATAATTAAAAGACTTGAAAACTCGATGAGCTGTGAAACATAAGCGCTTTCATTTCTTCTTCAGATGTTTTACATAATGTACATAGATACAGTTGTGACGTCATTTATAAAACAGTTCAATAGTGACGCCATATTTATATGGGAGATAATAAATGTACAATTGATAATTCTAGGTTTAACTATTTAGTTGGAGAAACTAGTAATACCTTACAAGCCCGAGTTCGCGTACATAAACAACATATAAATATACCACAGTATCGCCAGATCAAATTAAGTAAACATTTAGATATATGTGGAAAGAAGAACTTTCATATATTTCCATTTTATAAAGTTTTATCAGACAGTCATATTGTTAGAAAAGAGACGGAAAAGTATTTCATAAAAACATATAAATATGACGTCACTATTGAACTCCATTATCAATGACGTCACAATTGTATCTATGTACATTATGTAAAACATCTGAAGAAGAAATGAAAGCGCTTATGTTTTACAGCTCATCGTGTTTTCCAGGTTTTTAAATTGTTTATATGTTTGCTGGGCACGGAAAATTCATCACATTTTCACTATATATATATATACATTTTTTTGTGTTTGATATTTTGTTCAGTCAATGATTACATTTGATGTTGAAGGAATTCCTGATACGTAATTTTCACATTGAAGTAATTCATAATGTATAAACACTTGTGCATGATCAATATTTATGGCAACATATCGTTTGTCAATGGTCGCCTATGCCACAGAGAACATTGTTCAGATGGAAAAAGAGGAAGTGGGTTAACGAATCATCGCCATAGAGAATAAAATACCAGTATACTTGTGACTCTTTTAGTCTCTTCACCCATGATAGAATCATTTTTTGATTCGTTCAAGTTACTGATGAGCTGGAATCCATCTTTAGGCCGCCATATCCCGATCTAAAATAACAAATCATAATAACAAATATTTCCATTCTGAAAGGAAGTTAATACCATATGACAAGTGATAGTGCAATCATCAATTTAGACATCCCATTTCTGGTCATTTATTACTTGATCGATCAAATTACTATTGCGCTACAGGCAGAAAACTATTTTGGAGCTTTGCTGTTTCGAAATCTCATATATTTGCTTTCTAATGTCTTCAAATAGCTGCAGTAGAGCGACTTAAAATAAGATCGTATACTATAAATTGGCAATGTCAAGGTTGAAAAACAACTGAAAAACATACTTTTGGCCGAAACGAATACTTTCATACATTTGTTACTTGCTAGGTTTCATAACAAACCTAGGTGATGCTACATGTCTTGAATACACTATGCAAGTCAGTAACTTTAGAGGCCAAAATCAATCAAACGCATTATACATGTACACTTATACTTGATAAACTTAAGCATCATTTTTTTCATACCATCATAGCAACCTATATATATATACTGCATGTGATTGTATAAAAATCTATATAAAATACTGTGACGAAACCCATCGTTAACAAATATCATATTATAAAACAGATGTGTTTGTATATCTAAACCAAAAAAATTAATTCACCTTTGAATTCCTGTACTACGTGAATGATAACAAGAACTATCTGTTATTGACTGCTAAATGTACTTTTCGTATTGGCCTTTTACCCTACCACTAATTTGTATTGTGCTCAGCTGAGGACTCTCATTTTATTTATTTTTATTTATTGAGAAATTATCAGCTGACCAAATTAGAGGTCATATCCTCATCTATACTGATCTAGCTGACACTTTCGTCTTGTATGAGAGAATTTATCACCATATCACACTGCAGTACATTTCTGATATATGAGATATGATAATTTTCATATGAATTTAATACAGGGCCAGTAACGTATGTACCGACATCAGACTGTTTCTAGGTGTACATGTTTTGTTCCGCACACATTACATCGATAGTTCAAAGGCAGTAGATGCCGATAGGAATGATATATGTTTGTCTACACAATAGGTTGAGATCATTTATGGATACTTTCTAGACAACGACGATGTAAATAAATAGTCACGATCAATCGTACTGTAGACAATTATCATCATGTACATTTGTATAATGATGTATCTAGCCATGTTTATTCAGATAGGAAAGAGTTGTCATACAAATGAGTCACTATTCATAAAGGGCGCATATGAAGAAAAGCCAGTTATGTTAATAAATTTGAAATTGACAAAAATAAAAATGATTATTACACATTTCATGACAAATTGAACCGAGCATAATGTAACCAATTCTTCGGAAATCTTCTACTTGAGAAATGCCATATTTTATACCTTGAAGTGGTCATAACGGAAACAGCCCGATGTGATTATTATACTTAACAGTTACAGGCATTAACGCTAATCAGACATGTTTACAATATACACTTTACATAAATACCAACCTGATAAGGACCGTGTTTGAGGCCGACCTTATATACATCAAGTTTGTAACCTTTACGCATTCCCGTTTTGGTGAATTCTAAGTGTCCAGTTAGACCTCTAGGATCAATCTGAAAATGGTCAACAACATCCAATATATCTAACTTTGGCGACAGACATTAATACATCCTATTTGACATATTGAATGACCGATATTGCGGCAGACACTATAATAATCAAAGCAGGTACATATCAGATTGTTTCATGTACCAAGATATCCCATGGTCACTGCATATTTCAGGTCTAACAAAGTCTTTGATATAAAGTGAGATGTCACGCCAGAGTTTGGAGAATATTATATAAACCTTCTGATTTCCAACTCTTTTAGGCAAAGCATGCTCCTATAACGGACTGAAAATGGATATTTATTTTGTGTAAACTATAATAATATGCTTCCCTATTACAACGCATAGGAAAATAGATTTTATTCTTTTTTCCCCTTTTTCATCTCTCTGACTGTTCGTAGTTGTTTCGCGAATATAAATTCTTAGGAAAAAAAAAAAAAAAAAAAAACAGAATATGTTTTTTTTGACATAAATTCCACGAACTATATTATATTTGGTGCTATTCTGTTAGGCCTGTAACCACAACTGTATACGTTTTAATTTTTTTTCGTATTCTTATGTTTTATTTTTGACAAATGCCGTTTGTTCTGTTGTATTTCTCCCAGCCTTGATTCATATTTGTGTTATGATGCAGCACTTTATTCAAAATAAAATGTACATTTGCAAATAAACCAAGTAAATTGCTTCAGAACCCAAGACTGATTGATCATCCGACGTTTCTTGGGGCGATTCAAATGCAATTTATTACAGTTTATCTATCGAGAATTACCTGATATAACGGAATTCTTAGGCGTGCATGATAAGATCTCTAGCCTTTTATCACAAGGGTCAGAGATAGAATGTATATTTTTCGTGTGACCTTATTCCTAGTGTAAACCTAATTGTAGCCAAGCTACCACTAGTAACACGATCAATGCGAACGTTTTAAAGCTAGACTATATATTTCTGAATAGATCTAATAAGGTACACATTTTTGTCCCGGTATATCATTGTGGCGATAGCAATTTGACATTTGAAATTTGAAATAAAACGATAGATTTTAATCTCATCAGCTTCTCCAGACATATACATTTATTTCAAATGTATTACTTGGCGATACAAAATCAACCCATGCCCTTCATTGTATGCAAAGCCAAACCCATGTCATCGTTTTCCTCGGGCAATTTTAAATATTAATTTTCGCTGGCTTAAAACCAAATTAGGTTCTATGATTTAGAGATATATAACAAGTGCTTGATTTGTTGTTTACAATCTCATTAAAAGTCATGACACTTTTGGTCACTGTATTATCACGCAAAACATGCCCGTAAAACAAGACGAATGGAAACTTATCCCTTATTGCTAAAACTAGGAACGTCAACTGCTCAGGCAATATACTTATCCTATTTCATTGCAATGACCCTCGGTAGTACTTTCGGGACCCATTGGTAGTAATTATCATCAGTTATTAGTATATTAAACATTTGAAAAATTTTCATTCTGAAAGTTGTCCACAGTGTTAACTCTAAGTAAATCCTCGGTATACTTTCAGATACTGTCCCTCGTTTATCCCTACAAGTCACTGTAAATGTATATTTTCTCTCGTTTATCACAACACTTTGAAACAAGTGATATAATGTCCCTCGTTTATCCTGAAATCAACGTGTAGCATTATGTCCCGTGTTTACTGTGTGCATCATCTGAATGCATTCCAGTAAAACATTGTCTTGATCTATCGTAATAACGTATAACTTTTCATATAATAAATAACCGTCCCAATTAATAATATTTTCTATGCAAAATTAATTTTTACCTTTTTTATGTAATGTATAATAGCGTCACCGTGCATCCAAGGGTTGCCATCATTACACGGAATACCTTTGGTAAGATTATTGTTATATACATCTCCTCGCCGAAATGTTGTTCGGAATACTTCGGTATTATTCTTCAGCATGGCTTGAATAGTTCGTTGAACAACCGTTACAGCATCCACAGCTAGAGCTGCATCAACCTAGAAATTTTCCGAAAAGGTATTAATAAAAAAAAAAGTATAAAGCAAACGGTATTTGCTTGATATATCAACATTTTAACATAGCATTAATTCAATAGTAACATTTACAAAAGCAACGCCAATCTTAATGATGTCAAATAATAGAAGTCCAATCTAATCTTCTAGTAGATCACCAATAAAAAGGGGTTTTGGATGATACTAGTGTTTAATCACAAGTTATGTTTTTTTCCAGGAAAATACTTTGCAAGTTGCATATAGTATTGACTTTAAAAAAGTCTCAGATTGGATGTCCAAATGGAAGGGGAATACACATTTTCTTCGTGCAACATTTCTGGAGGTTTGTAAGAATCTTTATCTTTAATCTAATATATATCAATTTCAACATGCATTCATATATATCGATCTCTTTATTGCAATATTTAAAGATTTAAAAGAAATATTTTCCCTGAAACTTACCCTATGTCAAACCGAACATAATTCATTCATTAACTGATTGTTCTAACATTATCGTGTGTTTTGTTTCTGTATGGAAACATGGTCAATATTAATGCTATAACTCACTGATAGTTGATCTCTTCCGGCTCCCTCCCAAATATTTGGTGGAAGTGATCGCCATCTTGTAAGAAATTCCATTACATTTTGTGCTGAATAATCCAATAATTGAAATCCGGTAATGTTCACTCCTCCATGGGTAAATCGTTGTAGATTCAGATTCAAAATATTCTGAAATCAAACACAATTCGAATTAAATTTTCTCAAGTTAATGCAATATATCATGCACCTGTCCATGTAGACATTGTAAATAAAAACCTATCCAAGATAATGGGCATCGAGAAAGCTATCTTCCAAAGAATCCCGATATCCATATTTCTCTATACAAGACACAGAAGACATATTTTGACAACCATCTCAAGCTTATATTATCTTATAGAATTAAACAATGCACTATTGTATCACAAAACGATTTAGTTATTGGAAACTAAGGGCTCAAACCTGTCTTATCCACGCTCAAATCCCATCAAAAACTATTCAATAGACAAAAACGTCATTGTGAAGTTTACATTTGACAAGAATACAATGAGATGTCATCGTTATCATTGCTATAAAAGGTGAAAGAGTAACTCTTTTTCTTAATGATCAATCATCAAGGGAATATACGTAACATGCACTTAACTAACGTGTCTAAAATGTTAACCAATGTTATAATGGAAGTAAATGACATTTATTCTTTACATACAATAGGGAGTATTCAGTATAACGAAATGTGAACGATTCCTGGCGAGTGTAATTATCTGTCCATCCTCCGATAATCCTACACAGCAGGTAAACAAAATGTTATCTTCTGAAACATATTATTAAATACTTACCAATGTTCCTAGTATATATCTATATCCTCTTTTGTTCATTCCTAGTTTTCTTATCTGAAAATTAAAATCCATATTTATGGTGTTTAAAATAATGTATTAAATGAATTTTCAGTATATAAGTCAAATATTTTATAAATCATTTCTCTGTTGTATAAATGTATTGGGTGCAAGACAGGCAAAGTGACACTGATCCGATGACATTCATAACTGAATCAACTATTGCTTTGTGGCTCCGTTGTTAACCTGGTTCTCAATTCAGTGTCCAGCATTGCATTCGTGGATGCTCCAAATTTCACATCGTGTTTGTCAGAATACCTGTTCCTGTCGAGAAAACCTGTTCTTATTCTCGTTTCAGTTTCCGCGAAAAACATTCTTTCGTTTATATTTTTCGTGTTTCAATCTAAAATTAAATTAGATTCTGTTGATATTCCATTTTTCAGTATAAAAGAATATCGGTACTTTGATAAATATATACATTTGCACTCATTTAAAGTCCTTCATACAAACTTATTTTACATGGTGTATTACTTAACTGGTTCACAAACAAGTATATTTACAAGGTCAACAATGTTCTAGAAAAGCTAATTTATCTGTAAGCAATTTGACTACATGTTATTAGGTTTATGTTGTAATCCAGAATCAATTTTAAAGAACCGAATTTGTATCGATCAAGTTTCGGTTTTAACAAATCACCCTCTGAACTTATTAAGTTCCAGGCAAGTAACACTGCAATAAATAGGAACTCTAACTTTCAATTAGAATTTAACCTAAACACACAAAAGTTTGATATATACTGGAAAACGTTTTCGGTGATATTGTGAAGAAACAAATTGAACATTTAAGAAATAACCTTGGTGTTCTGCAATACGTCAATAGTTTGGGAATGAATTTTGTGTCGGTGCCCGCATTCGTTTAATCAGCTGTACGTTATACCATGATGTATGCGCTATTTTCCAACCGTAGACAACTCTCGTAATCTAACCTCCTTCATTGATATTAAGCGTTTCCTTCGTCGGTGTATGGCCGCAGACAATTATCGTTTTTCACTATACAACTTTTCTTTCCAGCATATTAATGGCATTGATTAGGCCGGCTTTGTTTGTTTGCTGAATTCAATACCTGGACAGCCAGGATCATTTTGAGGTTGGGTTTTATCGAGGTAGTTTGGGCTACCACAATGAAAACCATACACGAGGTCCGTCGCATATCGCCCAGATAATATTAGTTTGGAGTTGATGAAATAAAGTATTTTTATGACAAATTTCGATTTTATACATGATGAATTAATATGGGAAAATGGTTTTAAAATTTGACTCGACCATTGCACAATTCGTAAGATTTGTATTAATTTCTATACAGATCACCCAAGTAAACCAAAATAATATTCGATATTTTTCAGTTAAATTAATCTTCTGTGTAGAATTTACCAAATCAGGCCGAAAGCTTGAATATATTTTAATAATATAATATCTTTTATAATGTAAGATCTGAACTTTGACGAAATGATAAAGACAAGAAAAGACAGTAATCGACTATGTTTCATAAACATTTGCAGGACGTTGTTACTGAAGTAGAAACCTCCAAGTCAAACGGAACCCTTAAAACGATCGCCTTCACAATCACAGACTAGCAGACGTTTACATTGCAATGAACCTGCAGAAGGACGATCCACTAAGAAGCACTTCAACATTTTAAAACAACCGTATTGTCAAGTCTAATGTCATGAATTGGACAAGCCAATATCTTTCGCATATTCTTGGAAGAAACGAGTGCATTTGGCGCAAATACCTATTTTCAATTTTGACTGAAGTGTTGACAAAATGTCATTTAGCAAACGAGTTACGTTCTGTATATAAGAATCACTTCAAAACCCATTAAGGCCTGCAAGAACTATGATGTAATTCTTTTTAAAGTGATGGTCTTAAAATGAGACGATCAAATGAAAAAAAAAAACTAAATTATGTGGAGTTTCGTTATTGCAATGCATTCTTAACAGCAAGTATTTTTGAGCATTTTTTAGTGATTTCATTCTCTTGTTAAGGACACGGAATCACGTTAAAGGAAATATTGGTAGAATTAATAGATAAAACAGTGATAATGTGAACGACGTTTAGATGTACTTAAGCACTCGATAAGCTTGCGACATGTACCTTTGGGTCATTGTGGTATTAGAAACGTACTCTAAGACGGCAATGTGGCGCACTAATAATGATGTATCAACGTGATGCCCATAGGCTAATACACACTGACGGAACGTACAATAGGGCTTTGGTTGGTGTGATTAAAGAAGAGGATGATATATTTTTTGTTTCTTTTAGGGTTGTAATATGAATTTTACCAACGTTGATAAAACTTCTATAATACTTCTGGTTTATATTCTCAGTGTTCGGAGGAGAGATACAAGGAGTGTGTTTTATTTTGTATTGATATCTTCACCTTGCGAACCTTTCAATAATATACACTTCGCTTTATATCTAGTAGTATTTTAAAAAATCTAAATACACAATATTTCCTATCAATGGGTAATTCTTAGAAACAATGCACATTACTTTAGAAAATATAAATATTTCTCTCCTTAATAAACACACTTTGAACTAGGGTATCTCTTAAGATATCTTACAATCACTGTAATTATCACCACACTGTAACGAAGTGTCAAACTTACCATTGGCATGTACGGCAAGAGTACATTTTATTGTTCTCTTTCACATTCGCTTCAGTATAAAAAATCCACCGGCACCCTTGTTAAATTGACATTAGTATTAATTAACCAACCAAATGCGCTATACGGAAGAGTCTTAACAATACAGTTTGAAGGCTTTTCCTTCTCATGGAAAGCAACTAACAGTAACATGCGTATTTCTTAAAAACGTCCTTTTGTAACTGGTAGCTCTCTTGAAGTACGTTGACACTAATGCTAATCCTAACGATTAGGCGCAGAGTACAGTTAACCAAACTAACGCCATGGAAAGTCTGTTGACAAAGCAACATAATTCAGCTCAGGAGTTGTTCTTGTTGGAGAACTTAATCTTAACACTAAACCCTAATCGATGAACTATTGTTGAATAACGTAAGTAATGTCTAAGACATATGTAACCAATTAAGAAAAATGCTTTTGAAAGAGAAATCTCTTAAGAATGGAGATCATGAACGACAATGCCATATCAATATATGCTACAACTGACGTTTGCAATTATGCCTGACGATTACTGAACATATTATACAGGAAATAAATGAGAAAGGTTTTTTTTGTGCCAACTGTAAATATGAAAGATCACCACTTCCAATGGATATTGTGATAGCTAAAATGTAGTTTTTGTTATAGTAAGGAAGCCGCATCTACGGCTTTACCAGTATAAGATTTCCTGGTCTCACTCTAAGTTTGCGAAAGGGGAATTCCTCTTTCATGATAATGCCGTCAAGCCCAACATATCAAATACTGAGATAACAATTCGAAACCCAACAGGAGAAGAGAAAATAAATAATTAATTCCCCTTTGGCTGATATAGAAGAAACTCAACACTCGGTGAAAGATTATTTAGTTGCAAATACGCGGGAAATCATGTGTTAACCAGTTTAACGATTTTCGAATTCTATTTTACATCACCCTATCCCTCAGTCTCGGGTTCAAACGATTATATTTGTCTGTAGTTATCGAATGACAGCGGTACAATTAGAATGGAAGATATAAGTAAGTAGAAATAAACTATATGTCATCTCTTATCCCATGAGCTTTTAGAAAACTTGATAATTCAAAAAGTGCAGAGATTTACTAACCTGTTCCAGCACCATGTCATATGCCGGCTCTGAGTTAAAATCCATGAGGATGGAACTGTTTTTGTAACCAGAGTACACACGATCAAGTTTACGCAAGTCTTCATGGGCATTGGTGACATCACGAAGACGGTGCCATCTGACCTTGACATCAGTTCCGTTTAATTTCTTTAATAGTTCTTGAAGTTTTATCATACCTGAAATCATCAAAATATGCCAGTTACAGTAACAAATACCAATATGACAACCAAAACCATATATCTTTAGATAATTATCATATTTGTTCGGGTTATAACACAATGGCATGGAATCAGCTGTGTTTTACTTTAACTAGTAGTGGTACTCTTCGTGATATCGAACCCCTTACTATATTGAAATTACGAAATAAAATAAATCTATTTAGCGCTAGAGGGATTAACTATCTGCATATGAATAACTTGTTACAGCTCGAGTGTTATTCAAGATTTAAAACAACTATAATCTGAAAACAAAATTCCACATTAACTATCAAATCAAAAATTGTGTAATCTTTCTTGAAACTAATTGGTTCGTATAATAGTCCTGAAGATGATGCGACTTTAGAGCCGTGCTTTAATAATAGAGATGATGATTTTATTTCAGGTTTGTTTTCTTCATTACCTGAAATGTAATGCAGACAACTACTATAGATCATGATCATCGGTTCCAAGAATATCGATTCCACATTCAGACACTAGACACATTTTGTTTCAGTAAACCAAACAGGATTTGTTGACTGAACAAGTGGTTACACTTGACCTAGTATTTTAGCACCGACTCTTAGATAGTTCAGTATGTATGGGCTTAAAGCAGAACAAATATTTTATCTTAGTAATAAAAGGGTATGTATCATAATAAAAAGTATAATGAGTGGAATTTAAACAGCATTTTTTTTTTCATTTTCCACTTGGGATATTTATCTTTCCTCGGATCTTTATCTTTTTTTGCCTTTATAAACATGTTTTGCTTTCAGATACCTCGATTGAAATTATCTCATCTAAGGATAAGTTAGAATCTACCAAAGAAAGACAAGAGAGTTTTTGTCCTAAAGCTATGACATACGAAATATACGGAAACAATCCTTTCTACTGACTCTTGTCTCTTATCTTTAATAACAATAGATATAGACTTGCTAGAAAATATGGCCTGGAAGGATGTACTTTAGATCATGATATTTCAATGTGATGACACTATAAAGGATTCGTCACTTTCCCCATTATCTGTGGATAAAGGATTGACTTCACAGGCCCCTCCCTGCTTGAAAGAGGGCTTAATGACCTAACAAGCCAGTAGAAGCCGTAATGCATCCATTTGCTCATGCAATGCCTTCAGATACGCACATTTAAAATGGTTTTATCTGTATATAAAATGCAATTTTATCCAAAACATTACCAATACATACACAAGATATGTCATATTGGCATGCAATTCAGAATATGAAAAGGGGATACTTACTATTCTTGGACTTGCATAGAATGGATAACTGATATTTATATTTTCCGCCAACAATTTGATATATTAAAAAGTGAAATACTATCACAATACTGATATTCCCCCATTTTCATATCTATCTGTAACGGAATTAAACACAAATTAAACATAAAGTACAATACGAAATCTCAGTGCGTCATATATGCGACAAATAGCCCAGGACTCATATGGAAATAAACGAAGAAAATAGAAGATAATTTGTGTTGACACTTGCTAAAATCCGTTGGGAAGTTGGATACGGACAGAACGCCCTTCATTTTGATATCGACCAGTCATATAAATCCCCAGTGATGTTCCGTTAGCTTCTATCACAGTGCGTTTCTTTTCATATACTTGTGCTTTTGGCAGGACGGATCGGCCAGACGGGAAAATTATTTTTTAGAATACATACATATCTGTATAAAAGGGGCAGTTTCTGTGCCCAACTAGCTAAGATCATATCAGACCTATGCCTGCTGTTTTAGACTCTACCGTTTCTTAGATATGTTTCAGCGTATCAGAGCATTGCAGTGTCGAAAGGAATAAGACATGGTGTTTTAGTACCTGATATGGACTCTGGAACTTTGGAATATGTTATTTTATAAATTCAATATTGTTTGAATGTGGCAGTTATCAATAATGAAAACTGAAGTCGAATGTATTAAGAGTGAAGTGCAGTATCTCGCATTTTTATCTTCGCCGTAAATGACAACTTTTGGAAGGGCTGTCGTGATACCTAGCTCTTCAATAGTATGTTTAATTGCCTGCTATGTTCACATCAATGTTCGCTCACTCGCCTGCTTTCTATCTATATTTGAATTCTTAATCTCTGTAGTTCCACTGATCATTATCGCAGGATTTCGCTGTTGCTATTGTTTTAGTGAAATAGCATGAGATATTACCAATATTGTAAACATAAACAATTCGCTAAGATTTTTTCTTTCTCCCTCCCATCAAAATAAATTCGCCATAAATGCGTAATTACATATATTTCAGCTTTAACCTTAATTTTTAACAGCTATCGTACAGACAAAAGAGGCAAGATATTTAAAGATATTACAAGAATATTATCAAAGAATCAAAGAAATATCAATAAAACATTATGAAAATGATTAAAATTTTATCATGGTTGTTAATGTCAGACCTATTTTGAAATCTATGGGAAAAGGAAAAGAGAAAGCGTCCTCAGAGTCAACTGGAAGTTACATTGATATTTAAGTAACGGATAACTATCAGAAGATCAGTTAAATTTTTAATAAAATCAGGATCAATGGCGGTCTTAACCTCAGGACTCACGCATTCTATTACAAGACTTAGACAATGTATGCTTAATGAAAGTCCTCACAAACAAGTTAGAAAACGAAATAGCTCGACAAAAACATTAACCATAAGTGGTATATACTTATAATGATGCCGTGAGTGAAAATCATCAACAGGAATTTAGAAGAACAAAATAAGATAAATATCAACATGTGAACATAAGCGTTATCAAAGCTCAAACTCGATAAAACTGTGGCAAACAATCAACAAAAGAATGATTTTCATGGAGACTACAGACGAAATAGTACAATGAGAATAAGACCAGATGTTCTGGAATAAAAAGCGAAGCAGGTATACTAACTATCAACAGCACGTCTAGCTTCAATTGTACAGAGGGATAGAGTATTTTCTAATGACGCCAGTAAGGCTATACCACAATACTTGATATCGATATCTTGGAATGCACCAACAAAACACCTTTGGTAATGGACTGGTATATCATAGATTGGCTATATATATACTGGAAACACAATGGTGTTGATCCATATTTTAAAGAAAGCTATCATTTATCTATTCTAAACAAAATATTACGAAATTTTACATTTTATTTCCAAAGCAATTGAAGCAGTTTCATAACCAGTTAAAAAATCGAAATGAAAAATTTTCACAAAGTGATAAGCATAAAAATTTAATTGAAAATCTGAAAGCTAATAATGATGGCTTTTTCAGTTTGTGTATATGATGTTAAATTTCACATATCTATGTAACGGCGAATGATCACAGGACTGGAACAAACTGATAATTACCTGACAATATATGCATTTAAAAGTGTATCCAACATTCAAACAAATACAAGAAACTTTCATTCCATTATCATGCTTTCAGAACAAAATGCTTTTAACAGACATTTACTTATTTTCGGATAGATAAGTTGTGTGGCAGAAAACCAATACACTAGGGATTGTATTGTCAGAGATAAGGATAAGACAATCACCACTCTACAACAATGCGGCTATGAAATATGTCCTAATTTGTCTGACACCATAACACTTTAAATACAGTTATAAATGTAAAAAAGGACCCTTTATGAATGCATTAGGAATTACAGTTTTAGCTGTCTATGACATGCAGATACAATCACACGTTCAAAGCCTATTTGATTAATATGTGGTTATTTGAATATCCTTGCATTTGGATGAGCGTGCAGCAAGCGTTTGCTGCCTATTAACATATGTGACGGAAGAGAATCAAGGCTATTGTAGTAGAAGATGTCGTAAACAGTCATCGCAATGCCAACATCATGTACTGACTCTATATATACTAGCCTATCCCTTGTCAAGAATGAACCTAATATTTCGACCCTGACCCATCATTAATGGAGTAGCGTACTGCTGAGGGAGTGTTCCCTCTAAAATCGGGTTTGACTAAACACTGGGAGAAGAAGCCATTGGAACTAAAATCTCGAGCAAGACTGTACCGAACCCATGTCCATTATCATTACTCTGTGATAATAACAGTCATTATTGGAGCCCATATACAACAGAGTAGATTTGCCTTCCAAAACAGGTTGACGGCTTAATTCCGAAGTTATATCTAATACTGTTCTTTAAATATCTTCTCGAGACCTTATAAAAGTTAACCGCAGGCTTTGCAAGGTTCGTTCATCCTTCAAGTATAATTAAAATAGATTTCCAACATCAGGAAAGGTAATAAAGATTGATTCGTACCTAGACGTGGCTTTGTTTTATACTCTGTGATGGGGGGTGATTTTACTACTTTTATCCTAATTGATAGATTGATGGAAATTATCAAGAAAATGCTGTATTTCCTGATGCAGTCTCATTTATATCGCTTAGATCGACTGGGGTAGTAATTAGACTTTTTGAAATGGTTCTTTATGAAGATCGCGTAATGTAAATCTAGCAAAACCTCTTACTCAACTTCGATTCTTTTGAAATATATGGTATTTTGGTGTATGGTTACCGAGTCTTTATTGCCCATCGTCTTACACAACTTTTATCATTTCCTTCCCGAGACTGGCTCATCAATAGTCTCGGTCAGTCACGATATTATTGTTAGTGGTTCAGGCAAAAAAGAATTTATTCGCCAAGCTGTTTTACTAAGAAATATGAGGTTTTTATTCGTTGATACATAATTTGTGTACAACACTTGCTCAGTGCTTACCACTAAAATCGGGAATTGGTTACCTGTCTTGTCACGGTGAAATAAATTGTCCCTGAATAAGATAAATGCTATGGTGTCAATATAAGATGAAACCAGATTTGAGCAGGAAATCGCATGTACAAATGCATCCAAACTCCCTATATGTTTATTGTTAATTGAATCTGTTCATGATAATAGTTCAAAACGTTTTGTTTCTTTTAAAAATAAGGATGACATTTGACCTTTATTCTTGACCATTGACCACCAAATTCTGTCAAAGTTAAGA